TTAAGGGTGTAGGTACAATTGAAAGTCTTTCTCTATTCCACAAGATCCCTGAGACCTAAAAAAGGTTTTGATTCTTGTCATTACAAGCGTCAGCTTAAAACCTGTGACTTTTTTGTTGTTGCTATTTTGCATACCAGTAAAGTGCACCATGTATGGTAGAATTGAGAAATGTTAGTTTCGTTGATCAAAATGCATAGATTCGGTAGCATATTATTTAATGAATTCTAAACATTATTTTGTTGTGATATTGAATAAAATATTAAAACCACCACACCACTTTTTTAATTTTACCTTGAATGAAAAGCAGTAATATTACAAATTTTTGCTTAAATGACAAAAAAATTTATTATGGCGAAATTGAAAAATTTTCAGTTCAAACAAAAACAATAAATTCAACATTACCTTGCATTTTCAAATGTAGCTGAAGGAGTTTTTCCAATTGCACCAAAGCCCACCCCCACTGCTAAACCCTCTGTAAAATAAACATAAAAATAAGCCATGTAGGAATTATGTAATTTTTTTTTACTTCTTCATAGGGGAAATTACTTTAATGTGTCAAAATTACATGTATCAGCAACATGGCTGCCGAAAATTTTCATCCAGGTTTTAAAAATACGTAACAATATATGAAAAACTAAATATTAACAACTGTTTTCAGACATGCCATCGTATTCCAGTTTATTTTTTCAATGATTTTTAGAATTTATTACAGTTTAGGGGTCAAGGTACACTGCTAAGCTTTGATGTATTTAACCCTATTATAAGTGCATCTCTAATGATGATGAGTGAGCCCAAAATGTTTGTTTTGGTGGGTTTTAAAGGGTGGTGGTTGTCACTTCAAATTATGGTGAGCAAATACATTTCATGTCTGATTTGGTCCTCGCCACGTGTTAGCTCAGTATTTTTCTTCCCCTGGGAAACTGACATATGTTGCTGCATATTTTAATCAACATACGATAAATATCAGTCGACAATGTATGTACATTTATAATTGTCCATTACTTCAACCTATCAATGGCAAACACACAATGTCTTGTATTTAGTTCTATCCAAGGTCTCACCTGGTATATTATGTATTGTAATGGCAATTATTAATAAAACTATTCTCCGCCAACTTGTTTTTTTTTGTTCTGTTATAGAGCTTCTTTTTACTGAGAGTTCTTCTTCATTGATATCAACACTGTTGTCATAGTTACCAAGCCCTGGTCTTCGTCGCTGTGTTGTACTTGATGGCCCATTGGCTGGTAAACCTGACAATAATAGTTGAAAAAGAAGTATTAAATAACAAACTATATTAAAATTAAAATTTGGGGCAGTACATTATAAACTCTGATTTGGGGGGGGGGGGGTTGTTGTTAAAGCTGTGCAAATAGTATTTTTTCTCCTTAATTTTTTTGATGATTTTGTATATATTTTGTTTGTTTTTAATATTTTGAAAAACTTGTTTTGAAAAACAGTTGTGCAGAATTTGTTTTTCTGTCGTTGGTTCTATTTCTACGACTATATTACAGTCTG